AAATAATGAAAATAACCTTTGAAAAGGTAATCGCAAATATAATCTCGGTGAATCGATTCTCGAGCTGAATACTCTTGCTAGACAAGCGTTTATCGTGGATCGGAATTGGAAAGATTTATGGATTCCTTATAATAATTCCGTAGAAAGACAATGCTTTACTATTCTTAAATATTTTACCTCATTACAAACATTGAATTATTTAGCTATGACAAATAATTATGCTTATGATTCCATAAATCTTATCCTTTATATTAGATTCTAAACATAAGTATTAGTATCGCATCTCTGTATGCGGAATGGTTAGTATAGTTAATACGAATGAGTCGGTTTTTTTAGGTAGTGGTTAGTTACTTCCAGGTGTCTAGGGACGGCGTACGATTGACTGGGCCGTCAGGTTAGAACGAGGAAGGCTGACCCTAGTGTGGTTAGTAAATAATAATGTGTTATAGTTCGAATGACTATAACTATATTATATTAAATATTATATTAATAATAAATTAGTAAGTCGGCATTATATAATCGTTGAGAAACGTTCTCACGTTCTCGCGAAGCGCTTATCGCGAGAAGACGCAAACGCGACAGAAAATAAGCGAAACGCCGGAAACCGCGGATTGCAAGCGAAGAGTTAACCTGCTTCGCTTGGACCTAGATAAAAAACGCGTGAATAAAATTAGCCAATGGGAGAGCTTTTCTACATCTTCTCCCAAAAGATGTAGAAAAGACAGGAGACCACCGCGAACGGAGAGCGAGGCGATGAAGGCAGTCGCTAACAAAAATCCAAAGAGACAAGTCGCAGACAGAAATTCGACAAGACAAGTTGCTAATCAGAATCTAACTACGAGTCGAAGACAAGCCGAATACAAAACTATCGCCTGTACTCTAACTGCCGAGTGCGGAAATATTTAACTAACCACCTAGGTGGGATTCGACAGAATAAAAACCCACTCAAGAGTTAAAGCAATAAAGATTTATTAAAAAGGAAATATTCTGCGAGAAAGATTTGGAGTGGAGACGTCCGCCGATCCTTTGGATCCCTATCCTTCGTCGGCTGAAGCCCAGAAATTCCCTCGTGCCTCACCCGAGGCACAACAAATGAAAATCGATTCTAACCCAGATAGACAAAAAGATATCTTTTATATTTCTAAAAGATATCTCGCTATATCTTGCGACATCTTCCAAAAATCTAGAAAAGAAATCTTTTAGAGATCTAAACGCAACATTTTGAGATATCTTTCAGATATCTAAAGATGACTTGAAGATATCTAGTAGAAATCTGAAAGACATATTATATGTCATTTTAAGATGTCTACAAGACTTCTTTAAGATATCCGGAAAGTATATATTAAGACATTTTCAAGATATTTTAAAGATATTATGCAGATACCGTTTAAGACATTTTCACGTTATGATTGAGATGTCTTAAATATATCTTTTAAATATCTTAAAAATATCTCCTAAATCTCTTTAAAACGTTTAGGAATTAAAAGGTACTGCTTGCGTAAGTTGCAATTAAAAATATCTTAGAAAATAAATCTATACTAGACAAATAAAAAATAATGTAGCAATTAATGTTAAATTTATTTAAAAAATATTAATTATAACATTTAACATTATTTAAATTAGTAGTATGTTAAACATTTAACATTATCAACATTAGTAGTATGCTACATTATTTTATTCATTTTCCAGCACGGATTTATCTTTTAAGGTATCTCCAACAGCAACTTACACAAACAGCAACTTTTAATTTAATATATATAAATAAAATGATTTAATTTAATACAAATAAAAAACTTGAAATTTTTATCTCTGTACTGTATATCGTCGTTGCATCTTAATGTAGACTACTGTAGACAGATCAAAAATTTGATATGCAATGGTGTATGTTTTCTGTCTACATTAATATACAACGATGATATGCGAATACACATTAAGTTTAGTCGGCTATTATATCATTACATTTTTTTGCATTAAATGCCTAAATTAATTATTATTTTGCCATCTGCTTACAAGTAACCTCGAACTTGTAGCAGAATACATTACTCCGTTACATTATTGAGTAATGTTATCAGTAATGCTATATAATTTAATCTTTGTATCTTTTCAGGAAGCAAAGTTTAAATATAAAGAACAAACAAGTTGCTGTACATATTGAGAATGTCACACATGCAAAGTCCTTGTGGTCCAGTCTTAGCGATTTTATTCAAGTTTTTCTTCATATCGAATAATTGAGTTCAGACAGCGAAGAGTTCAGGTATACAAATTCTTCTTATTATCATTGTGTTTCCAAGCAAACTTGTTTATGGGACATTGTTGCTTTGTATGTTGTGCATGTTTATTTACGATATATAATTACTGGGTTTATTTTGTTTTAAGTATCAAGATTTTAAAGCTATATTTTGGTTTTTAAAAATTAGTTGCAAACAGTAAAAAAGAGTTTTGCAATAATGTTCTTGATATAGATATATTAGTACTCTGGCTCGGCGTGGTAATTTTTTGCATTGATTTTGAAATTAGTGTCATGTGATAAAATTTGACAATTATTTCATTTCAAATGCTTTTTTTTATATAATCGTTTTTACCGTAACAAAGGTATTTTAATAAAATTATTTTTTATAAATTAATATATATATATATATATATATATATATATATGTATATATATGTATGTATGTATGTATGTATGTATTATACACACACACACACATATACTACCGTTCAAAAATATTAGATCACCTACCGAAAATATTCGCTGATTTTAAATATTAATAACTCAGCGCCTAATTATCGTACAGAGATAAAAAAAGGTGCAAATTAAATAGGAGTCTTCTTTTTAATTTGCACTTTTTTATTTTTTTTTACATATAATTTATTATTGTTACGTTTTCGTTCGTCCGTTTTTGGGTCAATATATTTAAATACTTTACCCGGGAGTTGGACGGGTTGTGTGTATTTAGTTTTCAGTCCCGAACAGGAATCTTAGTTTATAAACTTTATAACGCGGATCAGTTTTGTTAATGCGGCGATAGTCGGGATAGTCAGGCTCGACGTTAATAGGAGTTAGTTGGTAAGGAATAGTAGGAGGTTTGTCAATTTGGGCGTTTGCTTCTAAATGTTGGAGTTTTTGCGAGAGGTGAAAGAAATCTTGTCGCAAATCAATCGCTTGTTTTATCTGGTATCTGAGCCGTTTGAGCTGTACTCGTTTACCTGCCCTTTTCTTCATGAGAATGTTAAAATACGACGGAAGCTCCCAAAATGAACTTAAGGTCGCTACGCAAGGCAGCGACCAGTCCGATTCGCTACGCTCTTCGGCAGCGAAAGGGATAAGCTCGATTTGAGAGTTATGGTAAATAATTTCATACACCAAGAGTAGTGTTCGTAGGCGCTACACTCTTCGGCAGCGCCGGTTACCAATTCGCTACACTCTTTGTCAGCGAAAAGGCCGTTCCCCGCTCTCGGAGATGTCCTACGTTATATGTAAATTTTACTCGGATCAGATGCCAAATAACTGAGCTTATTGTGGTATTATCAATTACCTTTTATTCTATGAGTGGTTACAAAATTATAAGTCTAAAGTACTGGATTAGTCGTAAGAATAAGGAAACGAAGGATGACAGTCGAAGTTCACGGAGAACTATAGTTACGACAAAGGTTTCGTTAAGATTTCAACTGCGATGCACAGCGTTTTTCTAGCCCTATTTATACTCGAAATTTTACCACCTCCATCTATGAATTTTGAAGGAGGGAGGCCCTTATTTCGGTTTGTTTATAAGATTTTGTTTATAAGGTTTGTTTATAAGGTTTATAAACAACTCTGGCGATCCTGCATATCGGATGTTAGTTTAGGATCTGAGAGCGATGAAAATTTGTCAATACGTGACGATAAGCAAATTCTAGCGATCCCGCGTATCGGATGTTAGTTTGAGTTAAGATAAATCTAACCGAGAGCGATGAAAATTTGTCGGTACGTGACATTATATATAATATAGAATTATTTTATTCATTTTATATAAATTAGGCAAAATCTATTTAAAAATCTATCTTTTAAATTAAAAAATACATAATTTTTATTTGTTTTCTTAAAATTCAATTATAAAAAATTTAAGTTTATAAATATAAATGTTATAATTTAAAAGAATTAATTTTTGAATAGTTGCTTGAGATAAAATTGAATATTTAAAATTGAATACAAAATGGACACACTGTATATTGTGAACACAGATAACTTGTAACTATATATACTATTTAATGGACACCTTATACGTTCCAACTGCTCTTAATAACAATTATTATCGCAAATAAATAAGCCCTAGATGTTCATTTCGGGTGGAGTTCCGAATAGGTGTCCTTCATTTCTTTCCTCCGAGATGTTTGTTTCCTGTTTCCTCTCGCCTATCATCGAGTGCAATTCACAATTATATCGAGTTTACATCTTTTATCGAATGCAGTTTACTATTCTACAAAGGTACTTTAATAAGATTATTTTCTTTAATCGATATATACATATAAAGGGCAAAACACTATTAATCTCTTTTCCTCTCTTACACACTCTCTTTCCTTTATTCAACCTCACTCCTCTCTCTTTCTCTCTCTCTCTCTCTCTCTCTCTCTCTCTCTCTCTCTCTCTCTTTCTTTTTTCTTCTCTCTGCTTGAGGAAATATGTCACAGGGCGCAAAATAAATGATGCTTTCTCTCTCTTCTTTTCCCGTTCTTCCTTCTCTCCCTATATTCTATATCCATTAACAGTATTCTAAATGTATTGTATTATATTTCTGTAGAAATTTTTTGTTTTTCTCTTTTTTTTTTTAGTTTCATTTTCTCTCTTTCCATCTCTTTGTTAAAAACGTTATTTTTTATTCTTTATTTTGAACACTTGAAAATTTATCAAAAAATTGAGCTTTTTAATTATCTAAAAGCATTTTAAAAATTTTTTATTCTTACAAAATAACTTATGTTTATATATGTATATCTCTTTATGTATGTATATCTCTTTACAGATCTAAACTCTGAGACGAACTTCCACATATCAATTGATTGTGCCTCATTTATAAAAGGAAGAGTAACACAGAAGTAATTCTGTAACAGGTAGACTCCACAACGCTGACTCTATAACGCAGCTCCATAAAGCAGAGTCCATAATACACCAAAAACAAGGTATGAATTTTACATTATACATATATATACATTTACATATATTATTTACATATATCATACATTTACATTATACATATATATATATATATATATATATATATATATATATACTCACATTATACATTTACATTGAACATACATACATATATATATATATATATATATATGTATAATGTAAATGAAACATAAATAGCCAAAATGTTTAGCGAGTTATAAAGCCGAAATATTACATATAAATTGTGATAAAATATATAAATTTTTTATTAAAAGATTGTAATATTTGAAGCTGATTAATAGTAGCATAATTGTGACTCATATATATATATATATGATAAACGGCTTTCAAAAAAAAAATTACTCAAGATTAGTTACTCAGAATTATTACTATACACATTATACGTTTCTAACTAGCCTTGTTAATATATTTTATTTATCTTTTGACAATGAATCTGTATTATATTGGAATGCTCATTGCATTGTATAAAGTTGGGTGCGACCAAAAATAGCTAATAAGTATTATCTTGCCTTCTAATTTTGATACGTCATACATATATAATTTAGTAATTTAAGTGGTTTGTTCACTTTTTTTGTATTAATTTTATTATTTTCTCAGTTTTATAGTCTGAAAAAGTATTCGTTTTTCAATAGTGTATTTAAACTTTTGATCAGTAGTGTACAAGTGTTTCCAGATGTTCTAGAACGGCTGAATATCTTCAAAAATATGTATTTTTATGTTCTGAGAAAAATATTTAAAACAAAAGTTGACAGGTTAAGATTTTATTTAGTGATGTTTAGCAGTTTTTTTTCATTTGGATTGCGTCACAAAAACCAGATCAAAGTCACATTTTTTAAAATAGTACATTCTTTGTGATTTCAGAATCTCATAGCTATTATCAAGAATTTTTCAAAATACTATAACAAGTTATTTTTTGTTAAGTATTTTCCGATTTACACTTCTTGTGTAAATTTGACCCGGTAATTTCCGCATAACACGTCTTAGATAATGCTTGATATTTAACTGTCTCGAAATCTGGGATATCTTGTATCTGTACCATCATTATGTTAATATTAATAAACTTCAAATATTACAAGATTTTTTAATGTTAAATTAATTCTTATATTCCCGACTTCGACTCACCTCAATTTTTTCTCGCCTATATCTTTAAAGGGGTACAGGGGGGTTTTTTAATCGTTATTCTCGGCAGATAAGTAAATAAAACAAAGAAATCATAGAAAGTTTTAGATTATATAAAGTGACTTAAAGAATTTGAATATTTGTTTATTAGAAATGATTGTTGTGTATAAGTTTGTATGTAAAATGCATCTGAAAATCAACATAAATATACATGTATTAGTACAAATGTACACATAGATATGTGTGTATATCTGTAAAGTTTTATTTTCCATTGTGTTAAAAATATAATTTTTAGTATAAATACATAATACTTCACTGTTTTTGAAGTTCAATTATCATATGAATAATATTTTTGACAGGACAAAAAAGTACAGAGTATTAGTGGGGACACGATACAAAAAATGGTCTCTAATATACTGACGATTTGTATAACATTTGATGTGGGACACAAGCTCTCTTGGACAGGTGCAAAAAATTCGACCGCAATAGCAAATTCTACCTTTGCAAACATTATAGTTAGTAAGTGTACTTTTGATAATCTCTTTTTATAGGAGTCACCCGTTTGACATTGTAATTGACCACAGACTATTCACAGCAACCGTCGAGTGAAAAAAAATTGCCTATAAGATTTCATCATATAGTTTTAGAAATGATTTCCTATCGGGGTATTATAGAATTTTCTATAACCATATTTATATATGTTAATGTAATATAAATATGTACGTATTATAGGGACTATGAATAAAACTAAAGGAAGAGGCCCTGATTGCACTATCGATTTGATTGTGAAGTACATAAAGAACTGGTTGCAACACGCAGGTGACAAAATGCGATATCGTATGAAGAAGGCTCAACAATAGAAAGCACGAAAGACGAAGTTAACACACTACGTAAGGAAATTAGTTTATAAATAAGTTTAGTAAGTAGCAGTATTCTCTCCTTTTTTTATGTTTTGTGGTTTCGGTTTATATATAGAATACCGTCAATTCACAATTCCGAAACGTTGTTTTTTTTAATTTGGGTTCAGCGTTTGATATACGCAATCTATACTTCTTACATCTAAATTTATAAATGAGTTTGGTAGATCAATATTCTCTCTTTGTATCTGTTTCGTAGTTAAAATGTAGAATAGTTAATTGTAATATACACATTGTAATTAGTTTAATTTGAAACAGGTTTGTTTTTCTTTTCCACTTAAAAAATTTGCATTTTCGTTTAAAACGAGAAATATTGCTTTATATTCATTAATGAGATTTTATAAAAGCAATGCTTATATTTGACATGTTCACTAATAATGTTTTTGTGTATATTACAATTAAACGTTTCTCTATTTTACGTTGAAAAGCGTAGATATATAGTATTTTTATGATGGTCTTAATGTCTCTTTTATAGATAGATTCCACATAGATCGATGTTCTCGATCGAGCTTCGACTAATGGGTGCTGGGACTGTTCTCTTTCCAGGACAGAGTCCGCATTGGTCGACGTTCTTGATCGAACTTCGACTAATGGGTGCTGGGACTGTTCTCTTTCGAGGATAGAGTCCGCATTAGTCGATGTCTTGGGATCAATGTGTACTTTTGAAAGAGTAAAAATGTGAAAAATGAATAACATTGATTGGTGTATATTGCTAAACCTAAAAGTAATAAAATCAATCAGTATGACTCCCTTCACATTTTGAGTCTTTTAGAACTGCACAATCAATGCTCCAAATTGAGCTTTGACCAGTAGGTGTTTTGTCCTGTTTCTTATTTCTATTGTTTTGTTGGTTTAGATACAGAATATCGTTAATTAATTATAATATACACATTGTAATATACACATTGTAATATACATGTTGTAATATACACATTGTGTTAGTTTAACATGATACAGATTTGTTTTCTTTTTTATTTAAAAAAATTTTTGTTTAAACCAAGAAATATAAAAGTAGAATTTGCTTTTGCGGTCGAATTTTTTTATCTGTTCAAGAGAGCTTGTATCCCACATCAAATATATAAGTGTTTCTGTGTATATTACAATTAATAAACGTTTATCTATTTTGCGTGGAGAAGCATGGATATACCGTATGTTTTCTGTAACTCGATCATTTAAAGTAATGATGATTTAAAGTAAATGTAAATTTTCGCTATTACTTAATTAATTAATCAATCATTAGTATAATTCAAAACAGGTACTTACAAAACATTTACGAAGTGCTTCATCGTTCTTTAATATGTCGTTAAATTGGATATATATATATATATATACACACAAAACTTTTACTTTCTGGTGTATTTGGTTTCTTGTATCTGTGTTGGTGACGCGAGCATTGATTTCTCCGTTTCTGTAACTCTTTGTCAATGACAATGTAAAAAATCGTCATTTAAAAAATGACGATGACTTTGAATTCTTACAAAATGACTTGAGTAACATTTGTTACATATAATTTTTGTCCCTTGGAAACAAACATTTATCTTTGGTAACTTTCTCGTATCATTACAAACAACAGAGTTACTTTAAATTATCGAATTACAGGAAACACCCGGTATATAGTATATATTTATGCTGGTTTTTTCTATTTAAAAAAAGTTTTTGCATTTTTGTTTAAAATGAGAAATATTGCTTTATGTTTATTAACGAAGTTTTATAAAAACAATGCTTATATATATATATATATATATATATATATATATACAGGGTGTCTGATAAAGATTTGACCAACGCTCGTGAGCGGATAGAGCACAGTAAACTGAATAGAAAATTCTAATACTATTTTGCAATTTTTGCAATAATTATTGAGATATTAATTAATAAAGATTGGCAAATTAGCACGCGTCGCGCGCGGCTACACCGTAGGATGTACGTTCTAGGCGTGCCAGCCGGCGGGCGGCGCGCGTCGCACGGCAACGAAATCGGCGCGTGGCAAAAATCGCGATTTTTGCCATGCGAGGAGAGACGTGCGAGCATAGCGAGCAACCATCATTAATAATTACAAAAAGAATTAATGTTAATAATTAAAATATTTAAGATTTTATTCCAAATGTAATTCATTTAAGTACAAATTAATATTTAATTTTTTGCATAAAATTTTAATTACTGTAATTAAATTTTAAAGCAAAAATAAGATATTTTAAAGTATTATCTGTTACTTGATAACGATGATTATCACGAATCGTGATAAAAAGAAATTTAAGAAAATATGAAACATAAAATTATTAAAATTAATTTTATTAAAATATTGTTATTGAATTTAAAAAAATATTGATTTGAATATTTTTTAGTTCAACACTAATTGTAAGTAGCATCGATCTCGAATTGTAGATCGTGTAAAGTAGGCTTAATATTCAGTATTGATTATATTGCATTTTAAAAAGATGTAACGCGGTTATTAATTGAATATTGTACGTATTGTATTTAATATACAGAGTTAGCACACACACACACGCGCGCGCGCGCGTGCGTGCGTGCGTGCGTGCGTGCGTGCGTGCGTTCAATAACGTATTAACGTTACTGAATAATTACTACTTTATTATGCTTTACAGAAAAAACTAATTATATAGCAATATTTCTCGTGAAAAACTGAGTCGAAAAGTTCTGTACCATTTTTTTCTGTAAGGCATAATAAAGTATTAATTATTCAGTAACGTTAATACGTCTTATTATGCTTTACAGAAAAAAATGGTACAGGACTTTTCGACTCATTTTTCTACGAGGAATATCGCTATATAAATATTGGACGCCAATTAAGTGACACCCTGTATACATACATATATATATATATATATATATATATATATTAACAAATGTTTAAAAGTAATTGAAAATAATTTTGAACACTTATTACAATAAATATAAATTTAAATCGTAAGAAGAGGCGTGAAGAGCTAAACGCGGATGTTGCTATGGAAACAAATCGTGCACAAGGCACATATTACTCTTAGTGTATTAACCAAGATTTTGAAAATTGAAATAATCTCTTACTTGAGATTTCATTTCAAAAACCCCTTGACTCCCCTATCGAAATAAATAATAAAATGCGAGAGAAAAATATAGATCAAAAAGTCGCTGAATCGGGAATCGAACCCGAGACCTTTCGCTTGCCGGGCGACTGCTCTTCCAACTGAGCTATTCAGACCCTTCGATTCTATACTTTTCTCTGCTTACATATACTCTATGTAAGTGTATGTACTCTTTGTGCGCTACAAATCCTTTTGAATAATTACTTAAGAAACGCAATTGTATTTCTTAATATTATTATTATTATTTATTATTTATAATTATTAGGACGATTTTACTAACCGTACTAACATATAGGGTCTTCCTAGTTCTAACTAAGCGGCTCAGCCAATCGGACAGCGTCACTAGACCATACCGGAGCGCATACTTCCAACCACACGTATACATTCGTGCGACTAACTGAACCGCATATAAATGCGACACTAACATGTTCAAAATTAAGAAACAATAGAACTTATGGAATCATAACATAATAATATAATATAATTATAATATTTCGAATACTCGAACGATTGATAAGATGCTTCAACCACCTTTATAATAAAGGCTCTAGCCTTAATAAAGTTATTATGAAGATTCCATAAATCAAATTCACGAAACCTTACCTTCTAGATTATTGAATAATCTCATAAAAAATGACATCTCAAGAATTTAAGATTTTAAGATCTAATCTATAATAAATAAATTACAGTAAGGTTTACGTAAATATAACTAAAAGAAAGGGATATTTCCCTTTAAATTATATTGTATCATGTAATCGAAATATATAAACCGAACTCTCGCCGCTACATCGTGGAATTGTAATTGTATAATTTAGAAATTCTCAGCGCTCTCGCTCATATATTAGCGACAATTTTCTACCTTATAATTTTATTCCTCAATTTTAAGTAATATAAAATAAATTATATGAATTGTACGATTCCATGTTCGTAACAAATAAGCACATCTATGCGCAAACTCTCTGAAATACGCTCGTTAAAATAATCATGTTGATTAAATTTATAACCGTTAGTTTTAAGGCGACATAATTCTTAACTCTTTGTCTGCCCAAAACCCTCGCTACTGTTCGACGCTTCTTGGAATCTGTATCGTGGCCGAATCGTTATGCATCCTCCCTCCATACCGCATTGCCTCGATACCCTACGCGCCGAAGCTCATATGTATGTCATAAATTTTGCCTCTATTTGGAATTCTTGCTCTCCTAGACATTCCATTGGCTCTCCTCCTTTTTTCCACACATATCACTTGCACCGATGATCTCGAGATACAGTTTATGAAGGAACCCCCACCAAAGGGCGCAAAGCACAAGGACTTTTTCCGATTTTGGTGGGTATATAAGCTCTGCGGTCCTAGCATCTGGGCGGCATAATTATACACGGCATATTACGACACACTAGATACTGCATCTCATTGTGTCACTCTCTGTACGAAACCTTGTCACGCGTTCGCCGTCGACGACGTTGACTTTCTTCATTAATTCTTAATTGCGCATAGTTTGTAAAGTAAAGAGAGTTACAATAAAGAACTTTAAAGCGTCAGAATCTGTGTACTTTTGATTTCGCTACGCGCATCCCGACCGAGGTCTTCTAAGGGGGTGACGGCAGGTGAACGTGCTGCAGAGTGACGCTATATAAAAGTTCATCCAACGTAAGGTAAGTACCTTTTACACTAACAAAGACTTCTCTAATACATTACTTGCATGAGAATCTGAATTCTGTTCAGAAGTCGCTAGATCAATAATTATCATCATCCTACTATTATTCTCCTGTGCCCTCTTTCCCTATTCTTTTATAATAATCGAGCAGTGCAAAATTTTGTTTTCTGCCCTTGATGATTTTCAGCCTTCTTCCTCTATTCTTTTATAATCATCGAGCAGTACAGTTCTGCCCTTGATGATTTTGCGCCTTTTTTCTCTATTGTCGAGCACCTTTTTTTCGTTTCGTCAATGCTTTAATAATCATTGAGCACTGCGTTCTGCTCTTGATTATTTCGCGCCTGTTCTATTTATTCTTTTATAATCATCGAGCATTATAGTTCTGCCCTTGATGATTTTGCGCCTTCTTCCTCTATTCTTTCATAATCGTCGGGCACTGCGT